AATTGCTTCATTTTCTTGACATTCAACAAAAGTCTGAGACATTGTGTTCTTGCTCCTGCCAGCCTGGCAAGGCAGCCCGGCCCCAGAGCACGGCCATCCCAGTGCAGCTCCTGGGAAAAGAAACACCCAGAAAGTCAGGAGGAGACTGAAGCATCCCAGGGAGCCCAGGGTAAATGGCAAACCCCAAAAGGCAAACCCCAAAGTAATCCCCTGTGGGAAAAACAGTGTGCTTGCCAGGATACCAGCACTTCACTAATAAAGACCTGGGAGTCTCTACCAGGACTTTCCCTTGTCTCCTCGCCCCTGCCACCCTGAGAGGTTTGGAAAGGGACAGATACCCTCTCAGGCTCCGTGCCCTTTCTGCATCTGCCACCCCATCCATGACTGCTCCATTAGGGCAGCTCTGTGGGGCCTCTCCCCTTCACAGTCCCGGTTTGGGAAGAGGGGATGTTGGTCATGTGTGTGTCCTGGGCCAGAGCCCTTTTCCAGACCCAAAGGAGACAGGGGAAAATGTAAAATCATGTAGTGTTTCCTGTAACACCTCATTCAGCAGCAACATCCAAAATAAACACTAGGGATGTTCAAACAGGTTGAAATCTCCGTCAGTGTTTCAGACACGGAGACCTGGAGGTGAAGCAGGCACTGGTGCTGCCACAGTGCTCCAGGAGCATTGCACCCCAGTGTGCAGAGCCACCCCGTCCCCATGATGGTCTGGTGGCTGCCCGGGCCCCGGGGCGATCGGTGCCCACGCCTGAGCCCCCAGCCAGTGCTCCCACCCTCGGGGGCTATAGGGTTATTCCTCAGAAAAGCTTGTTTCAAAGAATCCTCAGGAGGCATATTGCCTGCTGCATCTTGCCACAGTGGTGGGACCAGATGGTCCCCTGCCACCGCAGGCACCGGTGGCTGCTCATCCATCCCTGCAGCCAAAACTGAAATCCCCCCTAAACTGCTTCTTGCTGAGCCTGCTATCACCAGGCCCCTAGAAAGGTACTTTAAAACCTGTTTAAAAAATAAAATTAAAAAAAAGATAAACTGTAAAAAACTCCTGTTATGGCACATCAAGCTTTTGGTAGTGTTCTTTTGGTGAACACCGGCACATGTCTTGTTCCTGGGGACTGGTAGATGGTGACTGTGCTGGAGGGGAAGTAGCTCCTCCATTCTTGTCACTGCTCCGTCCTTGTACCTGCTCCACTCCCCTGGCCCTGCCCCAGGCAGGTACTGAGCAACACGGGCAGGACAAGCAGAGAGCAGCAACATTTTGGGGCTTCTTCTAAAGCCACTGGGCTCTGGGATGGTGCTTAGCCAACAGTTACGTTGGCCACTGGTTGCAGGAAAATGTTGGCCACTCCAGCATGTCCATCGCATGCACACAGCCTTCTGATGTCTCTTTTTGCAAAGGGACAACTGGCCCTTGCGTGGCATCAACTGGAAATCCTCACACCACAGTTATCCATTGCTCTGTCAGGAAATGCTCCCTGGCCCGTGACAGCAGAAGAGACATAAATCTGGGCAGTAATTTCCCCAAATCAATACAGAAACATGCTCCCTAATGAAGAACAAGCGGAAGAAAAAGGGGATATATAGCTGGCTGTTTACTGCTGTGGTGGCACAACTTTCTTCAGGCTAGAGTCCATGTTTCTGTCCTGTAAATCTTCTTGGGGTCATCATCTGGAAGGTGCTCAGAACCTGGTTCCTGACTTCAGCTGAGAGAGCCAGGGCTCCAGGGCTGGCTGGCAGGATCCAGCCTCACCCACAGGCATCGCTCACGCTTTCCTTGTGATGGGGTCGAAACACCCAGTGCTGCTGTCACACGTACCCCCATGACCCAACTCCTCCCACACTCCAAATCATGCTGGCACCGGTCACACTTTGATGAATCCCTCTCCATCCTCAGGCGCAGGGACCTGCGTGTGCTCTCACACACCCCGCTGCTCCGCTTCCTTCTCTGCTCCCTACACGCTGACAGTTCCCCCGAGTCCCCCTTTTCAGGGGTCACCCCCGCTTTGGTAAGCCTCGGCTGCATCTCCCCATTTTTAACCCTACAGCAGCAATGTTCTCCGCTTTTGGGCAGCTTCCAGCACATGCAACTTCCCACCCCACCCCAGGAGCGGGGCTTTCTGGGGATCAGGGTATGTCCTGGCATTGGGTGATGCCCAGCAAGACCCAGAGGTGTGAGAGGTTCAAATCCGGACTGGACACAGCCAGCACTGCTGCCACCATAACGGACCCCTCCGAACAGCCTTTAGTCTGCCGTCACACAGGAAAGGGTGCTGGGGACATTATGTGACATGAAGGGCAGTCAAATATGGATTTTCACACCTTTCTCAGGTCACCCCGAGCCACCCCCTCACCAAACGCACTGCAGCTGGTCTCCCCATAGCCCCTGGTTCAATGCTGGCATTCCTCAGGGGCAGAGCAGCCCTGGAGCCCCTCTCTCCCCCCAGCTCTCTTTGGGCTCCTGGATGCGATGGGGATGGGCATCCCCCCCTCCAGTGCACCCCGCTTGTCTCCAACCCTCCTTGTCCTGCTGTGCAGGATCCCCTTTGCTCTCCAGCTCCCAGGGGAAGCCCCAGCAATTCCACATGTGTCCTGAGTCTGCCAGTTCTCAGCCTGGGCAAGCATCCCGCAGGGCTGTGGGCTAATGAAGGCACAACACTTTAAGGGTTAAAAGCTTTCAGGCCCCCATCCCACAAAGCAAAAGGGTTTCATGCTCTTAACCCCTTCCTGCCCACCTCTTCTCCCTTCCTCTGAGCTTTTGCCACCCGGGTGGATCTGATCTGGTTTGAGTTAAGGGAAAGGCTTTGTGTGCGCCGGGCTCTGACTCCAGCGACTTTCAGCAGAAAAGGCAGAGTAATTTGAATAACAAGACTAATTGGATTTATAAAGCACAACCCCCACCCCCACACCCCCCCCACAGCCTCCCCCCTAAACCCGAGGCTCTGCACAGTGTGACAAAGAAAACACGCTAATGAAAACCACGCTGGTGAAAGCTGAGGGCATAGGCGAGCCTCCTGCAGGCAGGCGCTGGCTGAGACCTGACCGCATTGTGGCATTTGTGGCAACATTTTAATACTCTGGGGCGAGGGGCTGGTGGAGAAGCTCCAATACGTCCTGCAGCGTGTGGGGTGGCTGGTGGCAAGCAAGGCAGCCCTTCCTCCCCACGCCGTGACATTTCCCCCCCTGTCACCCACCCTGTCTCCTTCCCCATCCCGGGTCCCCACACGCAGCAGCAGGGCAGGAGCCAGCACAACCAGGACGGTGATGGCAGGACCCTGCATCGGCTGCCGTGCCGCTGGTGACCTCGGGCACCCTGACAGCCCCAGGTTGTGGAGAGCCAGGGCTCAGCTGCCTGCTGCGCCCCTTTCCCCTGCACAAGCCCTGCTGAAGGGGGTAGCGCTGCAGAGCCCCCCTCCTTGCACCCCAGAGAGGCTGGATGTCACATCTCAGCTATGCTTTGGGTGGGACGAGAGCTGAACCCCAAAAGAAGGGGCCTCTCTCTGCTCCTTGCCTGCACCCACAGCTCCCTGGCACCCAGGGTCAGCTCTAATCCCGACTCCATCGCCTTGCGCTGCCTGCACGCAGACAAATGCCCAAGCACAACTTTACACTCCAAAAAGTCCAAGTTGTCTCCACCTGGCAGGCACGATGGAAAAACCACCGAGACCTTCTCCTTCCAGCTCCTGTTCACATGGAGCTGAAAAGCCAATCTCCTTTGAAGTGTCCTGTGCCCAGTAGCCCGGGCTGTGGAGGAGGAAACATCTCCCTGCTCCCAGGCAGGGAAACCATGCACCCCCAAAGAGCTGCTGGGGATTTGGGGAGCAGCAGAACCCAGAAAGACCAAGAAAAGGAGCAGAAGGAAGGGACCAGCCTGGAGCTGACCCTGAAGGGATTCAGGGTGCAAATCCAGCCTGGTGCAATGCAGCCCTGCATACTTCTGTAAAGGGGGGGTGTCTTTCCTCTGGTCTGATCCCAGTAAGAGCATCCCCTCCAAGCTGGGTTGCCAGGGATGGTGCTCAGCTCCATCTGCAAAAACCAACCGGAGCCCCAGCAGCAGCACAAATCCTGTCCTCCCAGCTGCTGAAGGGGAAGGGTGAGGGCAGGGGGGAGCCCCCACCATGTCCCCAGAGCCCCTGACAGCCACCGGGGTTAATCCCAGGATCAAATCGCTCTCCTGCACCCTCCAGCTCCAGGAGCAGGTTGGAGGAGGCCAGGCTGCACAGCCTGGCGGCGGGGGCAGTCCCTGGGGTCCTGTCCCCAACAGGGACCCTGTGACACTGAATGTGCCCTGCAGAAGACGTCCCCAGGGTGTGAAAAGCCCCATCTCCAGGGCCGGGGACACCAACCAGCCCCCCCAGGAGAGTGGAGGGAGCAGGTCACCCCCTCCAAACCAAGGGACCCACCTAGGTGCCCTCAAGCAGTGCCACTGCCCCCTGCATCCCCCTGCATCCCCAGTGTCCCTGCCAAGGAGGGCAGTGTCCCTGCTCCCACCAAGAAGGGACCTGGGAGAGAAATTGGGGGATGAACAGGTTCTGATTTAATTCTGGATGTGAAAAAAAAAGTGCTTTTTGCACTCATTCCTGTCTTTTGGGCTTCACCCCCTGCCGGGACCCCCCCGGCAGCCTGCAGCAGTCACCCCAGGCTGGCCCGTGTTCTTCCACGGAGGTGTCACCAGGCAAGTTGGGGGGAGCGGAGGGGCCGAGGGCAAGGGGAGGGCAGATAGCTTGCAGGGGGGTCCAGGGGTGGTTGGGGGGGGGGGAGGGCATGAAGCCAAATGCCCCCCAATTTTTCTTTCTGCTCTCCAAGTCCCTGAGATGGTTGCCTTGGGCTGATGTGTCATTTGTTCCTGCCAGGGGAGAGGGGACACCCCCCACCCCCCACCCCCCCTTTAAATTCCTGCTATTGTGGAGTGGGAGGCCGGGTTGGACCTGGTTGTTTAGATGACATCACCGAGCAGGTTGGGTTATAAAATGAATGAAGCAGAAAGCCCAAGTTCACTAGCTCGGCACTTCGCAGGCTGCAGGAGGGACCTCAGGGCTCCGCTCTGAACTTTGACTCCCGTCGGTCCCGGCCTCTCCCCAGGGCTCCCCTTGGCTCCCCGCTGCCCCCCCCGGCCCCCCTCTCGCTCGGCCTCGCAGGATGCAGATCTCACCCTTGCTGGCTGGTGGACTTTTACTCGCTCTGCTCTCCGTCAGGCTGGAGGCGAAACCGGCATCTCAGCTCCCACAGAAGGTACGGGCTGGAGCTGCTCCCCTCCTCTCCCCATCCCGCTGCGGGTCCTCACGGCACAGGGGGGAGACGTGGGGCAACTTTGGGGTGGCAGAGTCACAGCAAAGCGGGGTCCTCCTTCCCCAGGGGCTTTTTGAGTGCTAGGGGACCCCCTGCTTCTCCAGCCTGTCCCAAAGCATGTGTGTCCCAGGGATGTCAGCCCCAAACCAGGTGCTGTGTGCTCTGTACCCTGCGGGATTGGGGCTGAGGAGGGTGGTAGTCTCCTCCCTGGTGTCACCCCGGGCCCCCCCTCTATGCCAGGCACTGGGGAAGGGGAGCGGAGCCGGAGCGGGGTGGGCAGCAGGTGCACTGGGAGCAGGGGTGTGAGAGCAGAGTCCTGCGGGCAGCCCTGCCCAAACAGGCCAGGAAGGGGCACCCGGGGCAGCCCCCGGAACAGGGGGACCCTAATGAGTGTGTCCTGGGGAGCTGGGTGTCCTGTGATGCTGAAGAGGAGGGATGTACCAGAGGCCACCGACACTGGGTGGCACTGCCCCGAGGGCTGGGCACAGAGAAGGGGACATGGGCTAAGGGGTGCCCCAGGACAGTGGTGAGACAGGACAGGTGGTGTCCTTGAAAGGAACTGGGGTGTGGGCTGCAGAGAAAGGGGTGACACAGTGGGCGTCAGGGGGATGAATGGGGGTGAGCAACCCCAGGGCTCAGTAGAAGAAAGGCAGGGGGCCTGGGAAATGGGGGGCAGTGAGGAAGGGGGTACACCCCGCCTTGTAACTGTGGGTCAGAACTGGAGGAGCAGGGGGGGGCCCAGAGAGCTTTAACTAAAGGAGCAGGCAGTGGGGAAAGGGGAACCCTGATCTCCCCGCCACTGCTGCGGACACTCTGCAAGTCAGGGGTGCAGGGAGGGCGGCTCAGAGTAGTGTCAGCCCCCTGGAGCTGGGCTGGGGGGCTGGAACACCCCACCTCCCCATAATCTGAAGGGGCCTGAAAGCTGGGGGAGGACAGAGTGACCCCCTTGGGCTGTGACCGTTGTGGTTAACTGTGCCTCCTGCCAGCTTTTGGGCCCCTTCAGATTATGGGGGGGGGGATGAGATGGGGGGGGGTGTGGTGTGTGCAGTACCACTAGCCCTTTTTTGGGGGGATGATGACCGGGGGGGGGGGGGGGAGGATGAAGGCACCGCTATGGTGTTAAGTAGGAGGATGCTCTGACCCCAGGGCAGGGAGCATGGATTTGGAGGGGGTGCGGGGTGGGGGGGGGGGGGGTGGGGGGGTGTAGGATGCCCTGGGCACGGTTGCGGGGTGATGGGCTGCACTGCTGGGGGGGGGGGTGGGTGGGGGGGGGTGGGGTGCGTGTCGCACAGCCCCCAATCCCGGGTGTGCATTGGGGGGGGTGTGGTACAGCGACCCCGCTGCAGGTCCCTGCCGGGGCGGGGGTGTCCCTCGGGGCGATGCGGGGACCTGCCCTGATGGCGGGGGGGGGGGGGGGGGGGGGTTGGCACCGGGGAGCAGCGGCTCTCTGACCCGCTCCCCTCCGCACCGCACCCACCACACACAGGCTGCCCGCGGCTCGGCGGCGGCGGCGGCGGCGGCGGCGGGTCCGCCCGAAGCGGCGGCGGAGCGGGAGAAGGAGCGGGAGAAGGAGCGCGGCGGCGGCGGCGGCGGCGGCGGCGGCGGTTCGGTGCCGCGGGAGGCGCGGGAGGCGCGGGCCGAGTCGCGGCCGCGGGCGGGCTGGGCGCGGCTGCTGCAGGACCCGCCGGGCCGCCGCCACAAGGGCCTCCACAAGAAGGGCCTGGGCAAGGGCTGCTTCGGCCTCAAGCTGGACCGCATCGGCGCCATGAGCGGCCTCGGCTGCTGAGGGACCCCTGGCGGTGAGTGCGCGGCCGGGCCGGGGCGGGGGGGGGGGGGCGGTGTGAGCTTTTTTTTGGCGGGAGGCTGTCCTGAGGGAATGACCCCGCCGTACCCGCGGGCGGGAGGTCAGCCCTCCCAGCCATCTGCAGACCCTAGACGTTGCCGGTGGGTGAAGAGGAGGAGCCCCAAATTGGGGTCCCAACCCTTCCAGCAGGTTTCCCCCCCCCCCCGCTGCCCTGCCTGCCCCCGCAGAAGGAGCAGAGGCCCCGGCCGCAGCTCATCCCACAGCCCCCCCGGTGTGAGCTGGGCCCGCAGGCGCAGCGCTACCATTCCCAGTTGCTCCCTGTGCTTGGCGGACACGGGCGACCTGTGGACGCGCATTAGGAGGGCAGGGTACCCACTCCATGCTTGTGATGGGAGGATTAGCGAGGCAGGCGTCTCAGCCGCACTCCAGTTCTTTTAATTTAAGGGAAAACAACGCACAAGTCCCCCAGGCGTCTCCTAGTTGTGGCGACAGCCGAGGGCAGCGGCTTTCCTAACTCAGGCTTTGCGTCCAAGCAAGTCCCAGGAAGCTGGGAGTTCCTCCCACAGCGCTCCACGGCCACTGCGCTACGGGACCGATGGGCAAGAGACGTGTCGCTTCCCCGCAGCGACCGGCTTGGGAGAAACACAGCAGCTCCTCCTCGAGGGGTGATGGAGGGGGTGGTGGGGGGGGGAAGCGAGGCACTACTCTGGCCCGGTCCCTGCCAGCAGCTCACGCGCAGATGAACTCGCACCCGGGGAAGAAGCGCTTGCCCGCTGCGGCCCAGGCCGCTCGCCCTTCCCACGGCACGGCACTGCCCCACTCGCAGGGACGTGCCGTGGCCCTGCAGTAACATAATGGGGCGCAGAGGGGGACCGGATCCAGGCATCCTGCTGCTCCGCAGAGCAGTGGGAAGAACAGGGCCAAACGGTGCCCGCGGGATGCCCACGCTGGTCCCCAGCCCTGCCCAGAGGGATGGGTGCTGCCCCTCTGCTCCCTCGTGTAGTGGCTCCTCAGTACACCCAAGGAATCGCCGGGCTCTGGGAGGCACACACGTGCTGCGCAGCCAGCTTGTGCTCATCCTCTCTCTTTAAATTCTCATCAGGACAAAAAAGATTTCTGCTAGACCCAGGGCCAGGAGGTGCAGCAAGCTTCCCTCAGCCTCTCCCTTAAGTACCAAAGAGCCATAAAGCAAAGGGTGAGCTTGGTCCTTGCTTTAGCACAAGCAAAAAGTTCAGGGAGGGCTTCTGCTGACTTCAGCAGCCCCCAGTCCCACGCCAGGATTATTCTCGCAGGGGTTTCAGCTTGGGATGGGGAAGGGGCGTTGTGTGGCAAGTACTAACAGGCACTTTGTTCTCATTCCTTGCAGGGCTTTGAATCCATAGTCCATTTTCTCTTACCGTGGCCAGGCAGGGCCATCCCCCAGGCAACGCCTAGAAGAGCAGAGACCCCCCCCTGGAATGGACAAAAGATGTGGCTGTGTTTTTCTTTTTGGTACGAGGAGTCATGGCACCAGCTGTTTTGGTTTTGTTATTTTTTTAAAAAGTGCTCTCTATCTTATATATATTATATATACAAACACTCACCAAGACAAGGGACAGTGCTTTTCCAAGAGACTGATGAAACCAGCTGTATAACATTGCTGTTTGTAAATTCATGTCATGCATAAATGTATTTATGTTGTAAAGCTATTTATATATTGTTTATAAAGAGATATTTATAAAAAAATTATTTATGTAACTAAATGAAAAGTCAAGCATTGTAACATTTTTTGTCCTAAGTAGTTGAAAAACTTTAAAAAAAATCATTTTGTGTGGCATTTTGTAACCTGTCTTTATTTATCAAATTCACATACAATTTAAATGTCAGAGTGATTGATTTTAATAGAGTTAAAGAAGAAATTGTTCGGATGTTTTAGAAAAGTCAGGAGCGAGAGAAAGGCCAGCTGATTTATTCAGCTTTGATCCCCTATGCAAAAGTAAACTTGCGCCCAATCCTGTGACGCTCTGATGGACCGAATCCTGCCCGGCGCTGCATGCAGCTGCAAGGCTCTGCAGAACCCAGCCGAGCTCCCTGTGAGAGCACGCGGCCTCGGGCGACTCGTCTGTCGCCCAGATCCTGAGCGGCACCCCTGGAAATAAGCCCACCCCTCCTTCAGCAGCCTAGACCCGGGTTGGCAGCAGCACGACAAGAGCAGCGTTTGGCCTAGACGCGTTTTACCCGCTTGCCAGTCTCTGGGTTTGGGTCCGAATTTCATTCCGTAACTATAGCTTTGTCACCGGGCGCCGGACAGAGATGCAGTCCCTGCTGAGAGCAACAAAGAGACCGCGCTGGATCCGGCCCCCGGCCGCGCTCGTGGGAGCGGAGCTTTATGCCGGAGGCGCTGTTATTCCAGGATCCAGCAGCTCACTAAGTATCTTGTTGATATTCCCATTCGCCAAACCTTTGCCGCGAAGCTGTAAAGTCCCTTCCTCCAGCAGAGATTTATTTAACTGTGCCTGGGACAATACATAGACTAAAATATACTGAGGGCTGCCTGGTAAGGATTCATGGACACAGCTGTTGTTACAGCTTCTTGCTATGTAAAGTGCATGAAATAAATCGTTAAAATGACTCTGAGCTCTAAAGGAAACAGCAAGCGAGGGGGCGGGGAGCGCAGCAAACACGCAAACTCCTGCATGGAGGCTCTTTGGTCTCATTCTTCAAAGAGGCCTTAGAAAAAAAAGAGTGGCAGGCACCCAGCCCAGCCGTGACGGGAGTCACAAATTATGCCCTGACCATTGTAGTGGGCTGGGAAACAACGAGCATTATGTTCTGCTGGGCTCTGGTGCCTAGGACAGGGCAAAAAGAAAGTCACCAAGACCTAGAGGCAGAGAGATCCTTTCCCTTAGCAACCACCGGGAAACCATAGAAACCTCCAGCCAGACTCTCCCCAACTATTAGAGAACATTAGGTTTACAGAACAAGAGGATTCATCCCGACAGCTCAATCATCAGGTCAGGAGCGCACACGTGACGTCTGTAGCCTTGTATGAGCAAAAGCCTCCGTCAGAGACAGGTACCCACCTCGCGGTGCCCACAGAGTCCAGCTGGGCGGGGAGCAGCAGCTCACGGACCACGTAAGACGTTGCCTATGGAGAACAAAATCAAGACCTTGGGAGGCCAGGCTGGGAGGGAGGGAGGCAGGACAGGCAGCTGGCAGCTCGTGCCCTGCCTCAGGGTCTGCTAGAGCCCTCCGGGGATGTCCGTGGGTAAGGACAACCCACTGTCAGGGCTCTGTGAGGCAAATACAACCCCGGTGAAGGTCACCCTACTGGCTCTGCACACCTTTAGAGGGAAGGAGGGGCTGTACTGGGAGCTCCTAAAGAGCTGCCCATCAGAGGGGACTGTCCGCTGTCACCCAGCAAACCTAAGGGACAACAAGGAATCACTTACTGTGCAGACCTTGCACACCAGGTCTGAACAGTGGCAAAATGGGATGGTACTGCGGGTGCCCCTCAGGGTCCTGGTCCTTGAGCATGAAGCCAGAGTAGTGACCACAACAGAGTTACCAGGCTGGGACCAAGGTGGGGCCAATTCCCCTTCCAGTTTTGGCATCTTGCTGCGAAGCCAGAGCTGGAATAAAACCATCTGCCTGGTGACAGAGGGCCTCTCCTCAACAGAGCAGAGGGAACTCAATCTCAGGAATTCAATCCACAAAATTTGACCACCTAAGTGAGGCACAACCTGAGATCAGGTTGGGAGAGATCCCAGAGATCACAGCCTGGAGTCGCGTACGGTCTGGATTTCCGCTCCTCCTCTGCAGCGTAGTCCGAGGGGAAAAGCGCAGCCCCACAGCACGGGTTCCTTCCTCCACTGGGCTTCCTGGAAAAGAGCAAGCCCAAGGAAAAGGACAAAGCTGCATTGCAAAAGGACACTAGTTTGGCAGACGGAGAGCGATCAGAGCGAGAGCTCCCTGTGCAGAGGGAGGGGGATAACAGCTCGGCTCCTCGCTTTGCTGCTCTCACTCTGACCAGGGATAAGTCACCCCGTCCCTCAGCATGCTGGTTTCCCACTTGCAGGACGGGAACACCGTGCCCACATCGGGGTGTGAGCTGATGTGCATGAGAGAAGGCAGCATTCGGGGGTGCAAGAGCACTTGGGAAAACTTTCAGATGCACTCAGCCTCAGCACCCACGTGGCACAGCCGGACAGGTGGGTCTGACGGGCAGAGCACGGCGCTGCGAGTAGAGGTCAGTTTTCAGAGCGCTGACAAGCACCTTCCTCGGTTCGGTGGACAGAGCAGAACAGGAAACAGAAACGGCTCATCAGAGCACAGCGAGCACCTGGTAAGGCCACAATTGTGTCTCCCTGACAGGGGCTCAGTAGGAAACCAGGCCAGCAGGAAAGAGAGGGGCCACAGGAATCTAATTAAGAGGGGAGGAGGCGTCACGTGCAGCAAAAACAAACTGATCACCGCCTGCCTTGCGGGCCAGCTAGGTCAAATCCTCATGACATCCAGTAAAAAGATCCAAGGCCAGCACTGGAAAACTCCCTTGCCACATCCCAGCCCAGAGACAGCATAACTGAACAGCAAGAGCTGGCCTGGATGCAAGCTGCAGCCTCAGGGGGTTGGCATCTGACAGCTCAGCAGCGGGCTCAGAGAATGGCCTTCAGCAGAGGTGTATACACACGCCTGGAAGCGAGGGCGGCAGGAGTCTCTGGCTCCTCTGTCCACACTCAGGTCAAACTACCCAACCTACAAGTCTCCTGTGCTACCAGCTGAACGAGCAGTAGCCACATTCAGCTTCTAAGTGGGAGCACTTGTGACATGACACAAGAACAACCTTGATTTCCTCTCTCCAGGAGCTATTCCTAGCACTAGACGAGCCATAGGCCCCCAGTCTGAAAAAGCACACTGCTCTCTAGTGAAAAAGGTTCAAGAGCTTTCTCCAGCGCTGTTGTACAAGTGTCTTGCAAAGCCCAAACAGGCCAGAGCAAACCTTGGAGCTCCCACAGCAGGGACACAGTTGCCCTCTAACGTGTGGGAAATCTGTTCTGTTCCCCCAGCCCACACTGCATGTTTTTCCCTGGCACCTTTAATGCAACTTTTCCAATGTATTTATTGCTGAAGGGTTACAAGGCCCAGCTCAGGTGACAGCAAATCCCAAATCAATGAAGAAAAAGAAAAGCCCAGAGCTCCAGAGCAGGAGAACAGTGGAACTTTCCAGCTGGAAAGGGACTTGAGGCATTGAGCAGGGGCTGCCAGGGGCAGCAGCACACATGCCCCTGCCGCTTGCGCTAGGACTTCTCCAAGCATGGTCTGCTTCCCTCAGAATGCAGAAAAACAAAGGGAAGGGATCACAGGGCAGCTTCCAGAGGGAGCCTGTGCTTGACACAAGCGCAAGTCAAAAACAAGAAGGGAATTGAATTCAGGCCCCTTCCTGTCAGTCAGCAACTAACCTTGTCAGAAGGGATGGCAGCACTAACCGAATCAGGCAATGCATTAGGTTGGGGCGCACAGCAAAAGCCCACACTCTCTGGAGCAGAACTACAGTGAAAATCCAGGGTAATGAGTTGCAAACTGCCTTTGTAAATGACACTTCTGCAGTGACTCTGGCAGGCTGGGAAAAGAGCTAATAGGAAAATCATTAGGTAGCATCCCTTTGATATTGTTGAAAACAGCACGGGCTATTTTTCCTGCCCCCTCCATAATTAACCTGGCATATTACCCATAATACTCCAGGCCAGTATTCCCACGGTGGACCACCTTATTTGCGTCATGGGAGAAGAAGGGTATGGTACACAGAAGGAAGAGGACTTCTGGAAAAGCTTAAAAAGCTTTAAGATCCACCCCCTCCCACACACACACATCTTCTTCAATTCCATCAGCAATGAACCTCTCCCCAGCCAGGAGACCAAAGCACTTTACAAACCTCTGTCACACAGTCAGCACACAAGAGAGAGACTGTCCTGGGAAATGCAGCTGCGGAGGAGCTGATTTGCCCCAGGTTGCTTTCTGCAGCTGTAGCAGAACTGGAATAGAACACAGCTCTGTGCTTTGTCCCATATTTATAACACTGTCCTTGTCTCCTTGATTTCCATTATGCCAAACCAGCCAACAGCCTGCGCCTCCCCAGATGCAGAACAGCTCTGAGGAGCAATGCCTACCCACCTGGCTTGTCTGCCAGCAAGGAGAGGTGTCATCTCACAGTCGTGATGTAAAAGGAATAGCATCACAGCTGGCAGGTGATCCTGTAGGAACTGGTGCTCTCTAACAGCTGCGAAGGTGACAATGAAACACCAAGACGTTACTTATTGCATCAGCGCAAGGCAGCCTTAGGACTGTGCTGGTCACGAGACAGTGACTGAAACATTAGGGCTGGTGAGATAAACAGCATCTTCAGCAAGAGTCTGGAGGGCTAGACAGTGCTACTTCCAAACTCTGTACCCATTAAGATACAAACCTACAGCTAGAGAAGCTCAAAATACTCACAAAAATGCCGATCTCTGGTGGAGTGAGGCTTCACTTGCCCACCATAATCAGCTCTTCTGGAAACAGAGCGATATCGCGTGCACGAGCATTTGAAAAATGCTCTGATACTGAGATTCACAAGACTCTATAGGAGACCTGGACCTGTGGAAAGGTGTCCTATCTTCTACTAAAATGACACCAAGCAAGGACCACTGGTGCAAATTATTTTGCACTCTGTGAGGCAATACACGTTTCAGGACTGTTAAATGACCTTATGGCATACTGGTACCACCTAGAATTTCCAGTGTGTATGTTTATTTGCTAAGGCAGGGGCACCTTTTCTTCTTGGCAAGAAAAAGCCATGGTCACAGCTATCACACTTATCCAATTTGTAACCTGTAGCAAATACATCAGGGCATCTTGTGAGGTCTACACACTGTGGGAAAAAGAAGCATGCGTGCCTGTGTGTTTGGAGACAGGGAGCAAAGTGCTGCTCTGTGTAATCCTTTGTCTGGTTCACTAATCAGAGGTGGGGGTACCACCAGTGCCACTAAAAAGCAGCCTAGGCTAAGGGGTAAATATGCACTCTCTTCACAGTACACCTCTCTAGCTTCAATCACTTACCTCTGGTAGCTCTGTGGTAGGGCCAAACTTGATGAAATACCAGCAAAATGTCAACAGTCCCTGAGAGACACTGACCTTTGCCACAGAGCAGAGTGAAACAATGACATATTTCTACAAACTCTGCCGAGAAATTCAGTGAGACCATCAGGTTAAAATTCCGTAATAAAATACAAAGTTGAGGTTACAAGTAGGAACTGAGATCACTCTAAACTTTGATTTACCTTTCTTGATGCCCCTGGGTTACTCTCTCTCAGATTACACAAAAATAAACTAGGCAAGTTCAGGTTTTGGTTCCCTTGCACTAGGTCAGATGCTATAAGGGACCTGGCGGGGGGGGCGGGCAGGGAGGGAAAACACCAGAAAACTTGGTATGGGAGTAGGTACCAGACAACCGGCTAGCTGGGTCTATATACTTGTGAGGCAGGTTCTTTAATGTCTCCATTTCTCCATTATTCAGAATAACATAGAGCAACCTTGTTTCTCTCCACTGCAAAGTTTGCAACAGGCTCAGATACTGAAGGAACCAACAGCAGCACCAACACACGCAGGAATGCATAAGCTGTGACTGTTTTATCCCAGCAGGAGGTGGGCTTTATGTGGTTTCCAAAATCGGAGGCCTCTCTAAACAGCTTAGACGCACTGGTATAAACCTGTGCAGAACTGAAAGTTTAGGAAAAGTCTCTTTTACCCATGCAATTGGTTACATTCTAATACAGCTATCAATGTTGATGGCATTCTTCCTTCTGCCTCCCTCCCAATGAGTAAGCCCAACCTCCTTGTGCACATGGACCAGTGCACTTTCCCCTCCCAGAGAAGCAAACACTAGAAACAAAACCAAAAACTCCCACTGGGTTCTGTATCATTTTCCATTCTTCCAGGAACAGAAAGCTGTTCAGCAAAATTCACTTTGCAGGGCTGGTGGGAGAATGGTCATCTCCTACTACCACTGTCTTTGATGGGAACAAAAGCTTCGCTTTCCCCAGCTCCACTGTGGAGAGCAGCTCTGCGGGTCCTACTCCTGTATGCGAGCCATGTAGAGAGACCTGAAACCTGTGTGCAGCTCCACAAGCACCCAAGGGATTCCAGACATCTGCAGATGACTGACTGCAGGATGGGTCTCAAATCTGAACACAGAAAGGTCTGTCAGCATTACTGATTTTCCCCCCTGCTCCTAACAGAAGACTAAGCCTGCATTTAACTTATCTAAGGAAGTGAGGGAGGAAGTAAAAGAACAATAGATTTTGAGCCCAAACTTCTTTTCTGTAAAACGATTGACATCAGCATTGCTTTATCATGTTCCAGAATTGCCTGATGTTAGCTGGTATTGACTGAGTCACAGCAGGAATGCCAGGGACATTTGTTAGCATGAGGCACAGCTTTAGGGCTAGGGCAGCCTACCAGCACCGCAATCAGCTGAGATCCTCTCTTCCATTTTCCAGCTCAGTGCTCAATTCCATATTAAACAAGCACTAGTACAAGTGGAGCTGCAGAACATGAAGCTAGACAATAAAGCCCTGAAGAGCAGAGGGAAGGCAGCTCCATCCACTTTGTCTCCCTCCGGGTAGAGGAGGCAAACAGAAGTTCAATAGCTCAAACTCTGTCCTGCTGCAATCTTGAAGTGAGCTGCAGCTGGAGCAGCCCGTTGCTGCCATAAACCAAAGTAGGGCAGGATGCTCTCCCCACGTCGGGGAGCAGTGTCCAGCAGCGCTCAGACAAACCGTGCTAGTTGCCTCCAGCAGGCACAAGCAATACACGGGTCTTTGCATCAAACCCACTTCTGCTTCCACCTCCTTCTTGTCCCCCCCCCAGCACAATTAGGCTCCCCAGGCACTCCCCACTTGAAACTGTCCCAACAATTTAGCCCCCACAAGCCCCTAGTTCACACAACTCCGCTCCAAGTTGCTACCCTTCCTGCAGTCACAGGGAGTCAATGCAGCCTTTATCTTTTGCCTTTCTCAAACAGCACAGCACCTCCTGCATCCTTCCCTGTTAACAACTATGCCTTCTGCTTCATTCCTGGAATAGCTTCTAACTCTCTCCTTCAAGCCAGATTCATTAACCAGCTGCTGCAGAGCTGTTTGCCTCCCCCAGGTACTCTGTGCATGTCATTTGTTAATGACTCATCTCAGACTGGGCTCATTGCAAAGACACCCCCCTCCTTTTGCAGCACCAAGCGCGTCGCTGGCACACCAGGAAAGCCAAACATGCCAACAGCTCAGTTCCCTCCAATACCCCATTCCCTTCCCTGTCCTCTATTGCCGTCAAGCATGGGACAGCTCTTTATTCAAAGCGTTCTTTCCTCCCTAGCTTCTTTGCTGATCAAAGGCAATGTGTACTGAAGCATAAGTAAGATCTTCACCCCCAGCCAGGCTTTGAGAAAGGCAAAAACGTAAGAACAAACTCGAAAACTTCCAACACGCTAAAGAAGCTTCAGCAAACTAATGTGCTTCTTGTAACTGGCAGGGACTAAACACCAAAGATGACAAATTCACATCTATTTCCCTAGCAGACTGCAGCTTGCCGAGGAGTTAAAATGATTTCCAAAGGCATTTATTATTCTCCTGCCTCTTTGCAGGATGGATATTAAAATGGGAAGGAAAGAAAACAGCTAGTGAGGACCACAAAACCTCTCCTCAATCTAGTGAGGAACTAGTCAAATCTAGCGAGGAACTTCATGACCAGTACACTGCAGCTGCGTGTGTGGGAAGCCAGAAACAGACTCGGTCCATCTCCACCACACAGCTCTGTTGTGCTTGGGTACACAAAGTCTACCTGCACCTCCTGAGAAGCCGACAGCTAAACACTGGGAGAAGCTAGTACAGAAACTAGACCCGCCACTGCTTGGGAAACAGTTCCCTTGAGATACAGGGGAAGGCTTCATGCTCTGGGCTTATTTACTTATCCTTCCCTGGGACTTTCTTGGCTAGCATTTCTAGGGGGAGAGCGAGCTGGCAAAGAATCATAAACCAAGGGACTAGACCCAGAGGAAGATGAGAGTTATTTAAATCTACCTCTCAAGATTAAAAGCTGGTGTGCCTGCACTGCAGGAGAAGAAAAGGAGAGGAATTTATGTTCACAAGCATGTAAGTCCTGTGGCTGAGGACTGAAGACACGCAGATGGTAAAAAATTCTGGTAGCAATAAGAGGAAGGCACTTGCATTGCACAAGTAAGTGCAGGTGACAGCTGGCTGCAGGATTGCAGCATTGTCACAGTCCTGTGTTTGAACAGCTCCCCAGCCCGCTCACCAAAAGCCCTTCTCTTTACAGCACGGAGTGAAGTAAAATGCAGGGGCCAAACTACAAAGGTGTACTCTGCTAGACCCAGAGGAAGGAATCAACCTGTCTAATACAGAGCACAACTACAAACCTTCCACAGTCAGGCATCAAAGGTGTTTAGGCTCAGGACATTGGGCTCGGCTACTGGGTTTGCCACAGATCCTTCTGCACAAATGTGGACAAACTACTGACAAAACAGGAAGAACACTTCTCTGCCTCCCAGATGCATCAGGGAAATTAGTCAGACCTTCTGATAACGGAACATCAAGAACCATATAAATACTCAAGTGAACAAGTGCTGTTGGACTACAAGCCTAAAGCAGCCTCAAAGCCATGACTCCAGACTCTGACATTAAATCACCATTTTTAATTTTTATCTAAAATGTGCTTTTTTGTGAATTGCTGTTTCAATGCCAACCCCATCCTCCCCCTAAAAAAAAAAAAAAAACCCACACCTTGCCAAACTAGGTGCAAATCACCTGAAGTTAGTCTGTAACAAAAAACACAAAACAAAGGCTGAAATGCTTTAGAATCACAACAATGTACAAAAAAAAGGGAGGAAAATACAACCTGAAAGTGTTCAAAATTCAGAAAGACTAGTCAAGTCCATTGCTTCAGCAAGGGGATGCTGCTGCGACCCCTGCCAGTGGGTCCTGGGCCACCAGCCTGCCATGATGCTAAAGAGGCTCTTCTCCCATGCAGACCACTGTCGCTAGCGTCCAAGGAAGAGTGAATTCATTACCCTTTGAAGGTATCAATGGGGGAAACAACTCATAAGCAGCTCTGGGAGGTCACATCACATTCAGAAGGAAGAGTTTCTAGCATGCCCCTAACCACCTGAAAGAAGGAAGGCTTGAAAGAGCAGCCTGCTTCCTCCTTATTGTATTGATGCCTCAGAGATGCAGAACAGTGCTTTAAATCTGTGAGAGATTAAAGGGCTTAGTAAGGGCAGTAAACAGACAGTTAAGTAAACAGCCCAGCACTGGATCTCATCTTCACAGAGCGAGGTAGTGAGAATTTCACCCCAGTTTAAAATAGACAGGAGTAGCGGAAAGGCTGAAGACTTCCATGTAAAGCAGTTCCTGGCCTAGAAACCTTTCTGCGCTCCCTTTGGGAATGAAAAGATCTGTGTCGATGGCTTCCTCTCTCCCAGCCTGGCTTTGGTAGCCACACTTCAACCTTGGGATTCAGATACTTCTTACAGAAGTTCTCCCAAGATCTGACGTAGTACAGCAGATTCCTCAAGGTTAAGCAGCAATGAGACTGGCTGGGAGGGAGCAAAACTGCCCACAGATTTTTTTTTTTTTTTTTTTTTTTTTTCCCTGCCCCTTTTGGTTAGTCCCTCTTTACAGGACCAGAACAAGGACACCCTGGAAATCAGTAGGGGCTGCACAGTGTAACTTAGCCAGGTGCTGCTAACTGGGAGCTGTATTCAGACAGGGCTTTCATTTGCCAGCCTGGAAGTGACTGGCCCAGAACCCACTGAGAAAGGAGACACAGGCCCTTTTTTGCTCCTCCTGTTGTCATTCCTAGCTGAATGACATTTAGATGGTATGTTCTAGTGACGGCTGGAGACCAGCCCTTTGACTTTGGACATCTTCTTTGTGGGCTGCCTTTGTTCTGTGTGTGGAGGGCACTCTCGCTCTACCAGCTGCTGTTCCATCTCCTGTGCCGACGACGAGGCTGTAGCTTTTAATGTTTTCTTTATGTTTGTGACCTGGCCAAGAAGAGACAGTGAATCAGCAGCTGCTTCTTCCTCCCCTTGCAGTAGAAACCCTGTTCATACACATATTGAAAAAACCCTGCAGTAGAGTGGAGATTATAAAATAAACTCTCCCACTAGAAACATGCTCTGCACTTGAGTTTATTAAAGGTAAAGTTTCATCCTTGCTTAGAGCCAGGAGTTGTTAATATTTCCAGTCTGGGTCCAACACAGAATAAGTAGAGATTACTCTTTTTTTTTTCTATTTAAGAGACAAAAGGCATAATACTGTACCACCTTTCTGGCTGGCTGGAGGGACCTACTACTGCCTTGGTACAGAAGGCAGCCATCCTAACAGTACATTGGCCAGAAGCAAGAAGGACAAAGGAGACTGTGAAAGAAACAAACTTACACTTCGGACAGCACTTGGAAAGGGAAAATGCCATTTGGCCTGGCTGGCTGTCTGAGCCACAGATATTTGCTAGAAGCAGGAACAGAAATTGGTTTTGTGGGAGGCAGCAGTATTGCTTCTGCTATTCTGGTTGAAAAGGAGAGATACAGCACCAGGCACCATACTCTGTCCCCTGCAACCCTGTAGGGCTCACCAGAAATAAAATGAGCAAACCTTAAGAAAACCCCAAAAAAAAAACCCAAAAAACAAAAAAACACAGGCCAAAACAAATTTAGGAGCCAGGTGTGCCAACTCCAGGCCAAAGACATCTGGCAAACCAAATGCACTACGGATGCCAATCAAGCCGCTAAGCATATGCTGCTTCAGAAGGCAAACGTAAACCTGCAGGGATGCAGCACTGTGCAAAAAATAAACCCTAAGCAAGTGTCTCTGTAGGACCATTTTCACCTTTACAGCTGTATTAGCCAAGATTTGTTCTCTCAAGTAAATACACATCAGCAGGGGCTACAATCGTGTGCCCGTGCTGCCATCTATCGCCTAGCTGCGTGTGGAACAGAGGCAGGAGTGCTCCCAGGTCACCCACGCTGCTGAAGAGAGCTGTCAGAGCCCTGCCTGGGTGCTCAACGTGGCCCCAGGAGAAAGACCCTAAGGAAGCTGTTGAGGACACTTTTTGCAAAAGCAATGAGACTCGAAAGATTTTTGTTAAATACACTTTCAGGTTCAAAACAAAGAGAAGTGTTTTTTCCTTCCTTCCTGCCTTGTACAGGAGCAGAATTGCATCAAATCTGTGTTAAAAGCACACTTTTCCTAACCAATCAATTCAGGAAACCATAGCCAGTGCATCCACTTAGCCTAAATTTATAAAAATTTATAAAGAAAAGTTCCAACCTGCCTGGACTGGGCAAATTTTATGTTTGTGGTGTTACTAACACATAGAAGCAGATGTGTCTTCTTCCTACCCCAAACCACCACATCTGGTTTGCATGATTGCTAGCCTAATTCAGAGAAGCCATGACCATTAACCAGGTGTTACCACATTACTTTCTTCAATAAACAAACATTTATCAAAAAACATAGACTGGTCTGAAGCAACTCTGTACCCACCTCCATCTCTACCTGCTGTTGAGTTCGGTGATGGTTCTCTTTGTATTGGTTGGCTCTAAGTACTTGCTGTTCAATTCCTAAAAGAACTGCTTCACAACCATCACACCTGCAAGATACAAACAACGTCAAACAGCGTTTACAAGTCCTCTCTGTAGCAGCTAAATCAGGCAATCTGAAAAGCCATACATCCTAAAAGTTTAGGAGATTATTAAGTTCATACTTCCTCCTGAAGAATTCCAAAAATCGGGCTAGAAAAAGCTTTGCTGTTTACTCAATATATTCCACAGCATTCTTTAGCCAGTCCATGTTACTCTTACCTGCCCATCAAAAAGTAAGCGCAGGTTTGATGCACTTTCAATTTCCTTTTCAATCACAATTACTGCTTAAACAAGGATGCAACACATTTTTCAAAAAGTAAGTAAGAGTTTAAAATTAAACAAAAAGGTGAGATTGAGAGAACCCCCCTGCCTGTTAGGTGTTCATTCAAAAGACAAGAGCACTCTTACAACACAGAACTCATAACTGGAGAGGACAGAAAAGGAATTGGCAGTGGGTTCAATGTTACCTTCCAAACAATGCTGTAAGATCCTGGAAGCTGCCCAGAACCCTCCCACCATGATGGGCTTGAGGGAGTAGAGAAGCAAAAAACCTGCCCCCACCTCAGGACAGCATATTTGCCCAGCAGTTTAATTACTTTTCATGCACTCATTACCATAGCAACTAGGAAACAATTCCCAGTCAGCTCAGAACCTGTCACTGGATCCACAGTCCACAGGGCAATTTGTCTGAGTGGGAAAGGTACAAAAAAATAGTACCACAGTCCCACTACGGCTGCATGCAGCCTGCATTTGCAGGACAAAGAGAAGGCAAACAAAAGCATCTGAAACTTCAAACTTGAAGAGACATCCTCTCCAAAGAACTATGATTCTCTAGAATTTGCCCATGAAGTTCTCATCACTGTGAAAAAGGCTGAAAAGTAATGGACAGTTCTGTTTTTGTTATCAAGTGTAACAGGAGGAATAGCTCCCACCATGAGTCCAGTTTGGCATATCTGTTTGAAAAGGCCTTGAGTCTTTGCTAGGGTTCTGCCACATTAAAGCTATGGGGAAAGCAGAATCTCAAGACCTATTTGGCTTGATACATAACACAAATTGAATCCTAGATGGGATCTTGGAAAACTTGCCCAGTAGAATCCTCCTCCAAGTGCCTACTTACAGCATAAGACTCCTGATTAATGGAACATAGTAAAATTGAGCCAGCACTTAAAACTTTGAGGAATAAGAAAAAAACAGGACAAACTATGTACAAGGAACGAGAAAGGTGGAGAGACTGCCTCACCATTCCTGGAGTGTTTTGACAATGTTACTGATGTCCTTCTTCTGAATGTCTCTGCCAATACAAAAATCCACTTCTAGCACCTGGTTTCGTTGATCCAACTTCCCCTGGATAATATCTGTATAAACCGCTTCAATAATCAGATCTTCCAACTCCCTCAGATTCCTCATATCCAGGTCCTTCAGCAACACAGAATAGGGAATGCACTAAAAACAGCAAGTCCAAGAATAAGTTAACAGTCCTAGAGTCAAAAAGGACAGCTGAGTCTCAGAAGGTCAAGATCCAAATGTTTATTGTATCCTACGCTTCAACCTGCAAGTACAGCAGTGACCGATCATGGCAGCACAAATGCCTGCTACTACGCTACATAATATTCTGACACAACTTTGGTAATTCCTGAAGCTTTGGCACAGCACGTTCTGGAGGAAAAAAGGTAATGGGACTGTAGAAGTCATTAAGTGTGCTGCTTAGTTTTCCCTAGAACAAAAAGTCAGTGTTTTTAAGAATGATTCTCCATCTCCACCAGTGAAAGAAGGCATACAAAGTTTCTCAGCCCTTCCTGACCAATTTGCATGGTAGTTCAGACACGCCCCCCCCCAATCTCATCCATGGAAGTCCACTACGTTAATGTCCCAGACACACCACGAGAAAACACTGTACATTTATGGGTAGTTTCCTAGTTGCAGGATTTCTTGTTAGTATTCATGCAGGCCGATAAAACTTCAATGCTATGGAATTGATGCCATTTTCAAAACAAAAACAAACAAGAAGACAACTGCTATCATACACAGGGTACTTTACCTTCATCCTGGAAGCCAGGCTTACAATTGTCAAGTGTTTCAGCTTGTTTTTCTGAGTCACTGTTAATTCAGGCAGGTTATCTTTGTTTGCTGTTAATGTTAAAAAGACAAGATTCAGGACTTTCCTTCAAGAATTATATAATCCAGGCTGCAGAACTTCAGGCTAGTTCCATTACACTAAACCCTGAAAGGCTGAACACCTCCAGCTACTGTGAGCAGAGGACCTGCCGCTGATGACAGATTAGCACACCCAGGGACAGAGAGGAAAAGTTACAAAACAAGTTGGCAATTCCAGTCTTCTCTGCTTCTCTAGTAATTCAGGATTTGAAATTAGAATATAATTCACATCTACACAAGTGGTGTCCTGCCAAAGTGGTTGGTCAATGCTTTGTTTCTACCATCAAGTCATTTTTATTTCATTAACAAGCTGACAGAAAAAAATCTTCCCCTCTTTGCTGATCTGGTTGTAAGTACAGCTGGCTTTATTTCTCTGCAGAATTTAGGGTTGAAAGTGTAAAGTACCAGGCTGAGGAAGAGAGGAGAAATTACTAATCTAGATGGCCTTACTGTCATTGTATTATATCCATGTGCCTCATGAATATTTAAAAACATAAAGGAAACTGGCGGCTTTCCAAAGCAAAGAAACTCTTTAAAATATCTGGCTTTAATGGAAATTAGTGTTTCAGAGCCACTCAAGTTCTCCCATCTATCCCACTTCATTCAGTGCTCTACATTTTGATTACTTTTCCCCCTTTCTCTTTCTTCACTAGAAAAGGAAGAACAAATTGCGCTGTCACATGCTGGGACACAAGACCCAGGCACAGCAAACACATCCTCTAATCAGTCACAGAATTCATGAGGCTCATGTTGCTCTGCAGCCACTGAAATTTCCAGTCCTTGCACTTACGGATGCCACTTCTTACAGGAACTAGATAGCTCATCCACCACAGTGACAGCCAGCACTATGGCAGAATTATTTGTCACACTCTGTAATGGTCTGGATTAGGCTGCTACCCACAAATGAAGTGTTAAATTGTAGCAGAATGGAAGCATAAGCACCAGAGATAAAAGCACATCCCGACAGATACTAAGATGATTCACACATTGTCCTTCTGAAGCTGTATAAAAGTCATTATTTCGATTTGTATTCCAGCTAAGAAATGCTTCATTTTGTTTCAGCAATGCCATCACAGAATAAAAGGTTATCCCATAAACTATATAGGTTTTTATAAATAATGCAGAACAATTTTGTCTAAGTTTTTTGCAGCTTCCATAACCAGTGTCATCTAAATTTCAAAACAGATGTCTGAAATTGCACTCTGCAGAGGTAAGTGGCCTGTGAACATCAGTGAATACTGCTACCAACCAAGTCAATCCAGTGCTGCAGTCCAATCCAAACCAGTAAAACATCATAGTCTCTTGCCCTTACTCCACATTTTAGCAATTCAAAAGCACATATGATCCAGAGACCCCCTGTGAAAAATTCTCCTCCCAAGAAAAATTCTGTCCCTGGACACTTTCACCCAGCTGCATTACACCAGGTACCACAGAAAGCAAAGAACTGCCTCTGACAATTCTAAAGGGCAACCCAGTCTCATACTCTGCAAACAGGCAGCCGTCTCTTACCTACATAGTCTGGGTACGTTCCGTACGCAAACAGGTTCAACAACTGGAAATAAGCAGCATGAGACCCTTCAGCAAGCTGGATGGGAAGAAAACAAAAGAAATTCCAAGTAACATGGTAGCATCCAACACGACTCTGGCAGGCAACTTCTCCAGAGAATGTTTTAAGTCTACATAAGAAAAGCAGTATCCAGAAAAGCAATTATGTCCTGATCTTAAAGAGTTGGACCCTCTCCAAGGCCTCATAAGCAGCAGCAAATTTCAGCAGTTTCAGAGACAAGATGATCCAGCCATTTTTGTGCACCAGAACTTAACTACAGTTTGGACTGTCAACTGCTTTGTGCAGCATCTTAGGAGGTAATGGGAAAAGGTGTCTCTTAATTTCAGCTGACATCCTACAGGGCCAGCTCTTCTCATCAGGTGACAAGCAAGCAGGCAATGGTGTTAGTTGGTTAAGCACCCTTGCTATTACTGGGAAAATCAGGACAGCTTACCTGCAGAGCCACAAAAACTTCAAAGCAAAGCAAGCTAGAACATCTTAAGTTGAGTACATTTGAAAGTAATAGCACTCCTCTCGCATGCAAACACTTCACTGGAATAACTGCAGCACCATGCAGTGATTTTTATTGAGTGGGATTTTTTTAATACCATTTGCTGCACACAGATCCAGGAAAAAAACATAGTTGTGATTTGATGCTGAATAACCATAGAGGCATTTTTCGGCATATCTAAGAGCCCTTTTGGAAAGCCAAACTTGCTGTACGCCACATTACCCCAGCTGCAGAGATGCTCAACCCAGATTCCCTCACTGTAGTAGAGGAGGGTGCTGGAGAAGCATTCTCAGTAAAAGCTTTGGAACTTATTTTCCATCTTGGTTTGAAATGGTTTGGATCTGGTTACCACCCAGGCCTGATACACTAGACATCTGTTCTCAAAGACTTTTGGAGAGCATGGAAGTTATGCTTTCCAGGACAAAGAAGGAGCAGAAAGGGATTTTTTCATTGTTGGCTGGCTAGGTGCCTTCTTAAAATTGTGACTGTGTTGCTGCCAGGTTTTTGCTGTATTAGCGATTGCATTAAGGTAGCAAAGCTTTATATAGGTATTTTATAATGTCTAATATATACACAGAAAAGCAACATCGATCTCATACGCAAACATCTCAGAACCAAAATAAGTCTCACCAGGCCCTTCCTGGCACAGACATTCCATGCACAGGCTGTCTGTGGGGACTTCTGGGGATCCCTTATACTGGGAATGCAGAAGGGACATTAGGATAGAAAGTCATCTCATACCTCTTGCACATTTGTTAACTCCAACAGCTCTCCAAAGACATAAACACCAGGAGCCTCCAGCACTTGATTTATAAGAGCAGTAAGAGCTGAGCCACTTGTACCTTTGGCTAGTAAAATAAACTGCTCTAGAAGATTGCAGGACGGTTTCTGTTCTCCTGCCATTCTAGGTTTTCAATCTGTCAATAAAAGAACATGATATTAATACATACAAATATAAACCCAGCAGGTTTGACTGCTGATTTATCTGGGGAGCAAAAAGGATTCACACATCTCAGCAAAATTTCTGCATTCTGGGTGGTCAGTTCCCTAAAAGCATCTACTCCTGCTAGTAGGAAAAGAGTTTTGGTTCCATGCTATTTTCAGTCTTTTCCTTCTACTGATGATGCCAAATAATGCCAACTGCAAAGATGTTTATTACTACCTGTATTAGAGGCCAGCTAAGACTTCCTCATTCCACAGCTTCAAAACAGCAGCTAACTTAATTCTCTGTGCAGAATTGATCCACCTTGTAGGCCCACACATCATACCTTTTCCTTTGATGTTAGCTACAGATAAAGCGTGCGTAAATAATTCCTATTGCTTTCTGAGCCTAAAAGGCAACAAGAACTGTGGTCTATAAGTAGCTTACCAGTCTACATTGTATAGTTAGTGTTTTGGGTTAACTGGAAAGCTTGAATGATAAAAATACCCTTTCTACAAAGCCTCTATTTAAGTCCCAGTAAAGAGAGGTCTTTGTCTCTAGCTGTTGCATGATATTTCTGGTGTACATGTTGTCTCCCAGCACCAACATGCTGCTTTTGAAATGTAAACTACTATTTATTAACAAGTTCAACAAAATAAGTTGTTTAAAAACAACTACCAAAAAAATTCTGAAGCATATTATTCAGACACCAAACAAAGAACTCAGCAGATAAGGGGTTTTTTTGTGTTATGTTTCTATCAGTTAATTATCAAGTATAGAATGAAACCTTTACTCTGGTGAAGAAAACCAAACACCAGAGAAAATGTCTCATTCTCCGTGACCACTGGGACCACATCTGCCCCTGTGGGGATATTACAGTCACACAGATGTTTGCTCTGTTTTACCATGCCTGACCAAATTAAGACTTACGAAAGCAATGCAGCCAGTTTCCTTTACTAGTCAACTTCTAAAAATACACTTTACTCCATTCCATTACACCTGCAGGTATAATAGTCCCAAACTGAGTGGGCAATCTTTTGCACTCTCCTCACAAAGATTTCTTGGCTCTCAGTGTAAAGTCTCTCTGGGATTCTTTTTATCAGAGGCACGTGCACAGCCTGACTGAAGAGTACTTCAGTTATGACTGAGAAATCCCTGCAACACAATAACACTCAATGTGGCTTCCTAATACACCTAAGGGCACATCAGTACTACTCTTCCCACTCACAGATAAGGAAACACACAGAGAGGACAGGCAATTTTCTCAGGAGAGAGCATGAAGTGACTGAGCAGGGAACGAAAGCCAGATTTCACGGTTCCCGAGTTATACGGGTAATCAAAACACATGCAGGTGTATGAGGTTACAAAAGCCTGGTTGGCTTTATCCACGTGCTGCTAAGAAAGGTGGCTATAGCAACCTGTCTGCACAACCGTGTCACCGGGACCACCTCGCTGCTCTTTCCACAACCTACGCTGGCGAGAAGTGACTGAAATACAAACGGTAGACACTTTAACGGAGCTTGACCAAAGGCTACAACCCATACGCGGGATGAACCGGGCTTCTCCCCGCCGGGCACGCCTTGCTGCAGCCTTTCCAAGGTACCTGAGGGGGTTTCACGGCCGGAAGCGGCACGCAGACCCCGGGGGAGGGAGGCAGCCAGGCCCCCCCAGCCCGGGGAGTCGTGCCCCACCGAGCGGGCCGAGCCCCGCCGCAAGCGGCGATTGTAGCCGGGGTCCCACCGCGGGGCCTTCTCGCCGCCTCTCAGGGCTGGGGGAGCCGCACGCCCGGCAGCGCCGGGACGCGGCCGCGGAGCGGGGAAGGGAAAGGGTCTGTCCGCGGAGGGGTGGGCGGGCGGATCCTCCTTCCCCCGGCGTTACCTCTCCGCTCCCGGCCTCCCGGCTCCCGGCGCTGCGCCCGCCGCCCCTCAGGCCGCCATGATGGCGGCGCCGGTGTCCCGCGCTCGGCTCCTTCCCCCGGAACGCGCGGCCGCGAGCGGCGCGTTCCGCGCCCCGGCATCGCCCGGCGGCCGGACCGCGCTCACCGGGCCGCGCGCGCCCCTCCGCGGCGGGGGCGAGGCGGGCAGGGCCCCGCGGGGCCGGGGGCGGCAGGCCGGCGGTGCTGGCAGCCGTTACCCTCCCGGGCTCCGCCGCGACCCGAGCTGCTGTTTCGTTACAAGCGAGGGGAGTTTCTGCCTCTCTCGTTCGTGGCGGGGATTTTGCGCTCCGAGACGACCTGCACGAAGGGCCGCTGTGGTACGGCCACGCTTTAGCATGTTCTTGGTTCTGACGGCATGGCACCGCAGCTCTCCTTGACATGTACAGGTCCTCTTCCTCTTTGGAGTCCTTGTATACACCAGAGCCTTCAAAGGGGATCAAATCTTCCATTATAGGATAAGAACCAGGCAATGCCCGAGAAGCCGAAGCGGGGCCATTATTAGACAGTTGTGTGGGGCTGGAGGATGGAGGCTACTAGCCGAGCCCCTCAGGCCACTCCTCCTAGGGTGTAAATGGTAAAATGCCAAGAGATGGGGCAAAAGATCACAGGGTGCTAGAAGTGATTTTAAACTCCATAGAAAAATGGCCCATCCAAATGACAAGCCAAAGGACAGAGCTCAGTCTGTGATGTGGGAGGGAGCTGGAAGGGTTGAGATTCTCTCCAGGACACAGATCAGGAGCCAAAAGACTCTTGAGGTAGAAGAGCAGGGGTGGAAACAAGGGCTTTTGGGATTGTTACCCTCCCCGAGGTCTGTACGTTCATCTGTGCCACACTGTGACTAAAGCATGCTTCGGTTAAAAATCCTTTAGCTGAGAGCAAAGTGCTTCTGGCTTTCAGTCAGCTAGTCCCTGAAGATCAAACTGTGGACCAGCACTGTCAGGAGGGGGGAACTTTCAGGGAATGAACTATCAGAAACTATTAGGAAAACTGATGGGGCTTAGCCTGTGCCTCTGAGCCATCTGCAACGGGTCCCCAGGGTCCCATCTTCCAGGGAAAGTGTGTCAAAAAAGCACAGACATACAGGTGTTGGGATGCTGTTGTGACACTCCAGGCTTCACAGCAAATTGGATGTAAAAAAACAGGCCTTTGCAGCAAGGGAACTCAGGCAGGGCTGTAACAAGCCATTCAGTAATTCGCTTAAGCCACGCTTGGATCTCATCTGCACAGGGAGGGAGAATTACCTTTTGAATCACATCCTAAACAGGCCTTCCACCATGGCTCATGTTGTCCCGCAGACACGCTGGAACAGTTGCCTTGGGCAAGCAGTGTGTGGCCACATTTGTCTCAAAACTTGTTAAAGCCGAAATCCCAGGCTGAAATATAAATGGATATACGTGATTTTGAGCTATTTTCCACAGATTGTTTTTGTAACCTCTTGCTGGAACCTGTGGGTAAAAATCTGCTGTTAGCCCCGTGTAGGTCAGCCAGGAGGGTCTTTTAATCAGGCTGACCTGAAACCTCCCGACTGATGACATGGACTTTGGAGAACAGCATCAGCTAAGCTCAGCTTTTGGGATGGATTTTTTTTTTTAAGAGAAAAATATGAGGATGCCCAGTTGTCTCATCCCCTTTTAAACAGCTATTGCAACCTCTTGATCCATCCACACAGCTTTCTGCGTGCAGGGAGATGTTAATCCATTTTATCTTTTAATGTTGGCATTATCTCTTGACTCACCCCATCTCTTCCCCTTGTGATGCTGCAATCCAGGTCCCTTTTAGGCAGAAGATAATTCACCTTATTCCCCTGCATTGCCTGAGGAAAGAAACCATAAAACCGGGATGATCTCCCCAAGCAGTGGGGTCGTGGAGCCCCAGAGACAGACTTTGACAATATGCTTTCCCTCAGTCAGAAGCCAAGGCATGAGGCTGCAAAGTCACCTGTAAGGGACAGAGACCAGGAAGGGTGTGATTAACTCCTCTGTCCTGCAGTTTCCATCACACCAAGTTCAGTGTCTAGTTCTTCAATGCCCTGTGCCTCCAGCTGCTCATCTTGCCTGCACCTGCACCCTGTCTGGGTCTGCCTTCTGGTGCCCCAGACTAGACTCTGGAGGTGCTTCTTCCCCTACTAAAGTCCCAGTTCTGTTGTATCATTGGCAAGAAAATAACCACCTGGCCTCACCAAGGAAAGGGCTGACAGTGAAAGCAGATACTTATGTGTTTCTTACGTTTTTCCTTACCTTTCATAAATAAGGTGGTTTAAATCAAAAACTCTTGTGAAAAGAATCACCTTAGGACAACATAGGACCTTACCAATAACCCACATAATACATGTTATATTCAGAAATCATACACTAGGCTAGATTTAACCACCAGGATTAGGATCTAGTTCCTGAAGTGTCTAATAATTTTACTTCCCAACAACTTAAAGCAAAATAAAATTCACTGTTGGCACCTTGGCCATGTTAGAGCAGGAGCAGGTACATCTGCACACAACCAAATGCCCAGTAGCTCTAGGGGTAAGCTGGGCTGTGTAGTTGCTAACAGGGTCCTGGATGCAGTTTTGTTCCTCATCTGTGTGTGCTTCCACCATGCTTCATCCATTTATTCTCTCTCTTTCCAGGCTTCTGATCTCTCAGCTTCCAGCACACACCTCCAAAGCATGCAGTGACAGGAGCTCCCACGCGCTGCTGAAGAAGCTGTCAAGCTCTCTGCACTTCCCAGGATCCAGAGACTAAGCTGCTCGCTGGACCCTCACCTCACACCTTGGCCAGGTGAGGAGTGACATGTGTGTCTGGGTGGTTGAAGATACAAGCTCTTCCATCAAATGTGGGGTGGGATGAAGCTCCAGTTTACGAAACCATCTTCCCGTTATACTGATCTGCAGAAACACCAACTCATTTATCTGCACCTTGAGAGAACAGCTTCTGGGGAAGCAGAAAGCAGGCTGGAGACACCTTCTCACCTGCAATGGCAGCTCAGAAACTATCACACCTGACAGATATGAAAGCAAAGATGAAGTTTTCAGTACAAAGTAGCACCAAAGGAGAGACTTGTAGCAACTTTCTTGCAAGTAGATTAGGAAGACAATGTGCTCAAGGGTGTTGTTTGTGTTAATGCAGCCAAAGAATTTTGAGAAAGGTCCCAGGGTTTCTGAAACTCTCCAAGTTATAGTGTCATGTGTTCCACTGCAACTTGTGCCCATAGCAGTCACAAGAACTTCACACTTCAGCCATGAGCTCTTTTGTGATATTCAGGAGTTAAAAAATGAGAGGCATGTGTTTTTCTGCACAGCAAGGTAAATTTGGGAATTCTGAGATTTGGCCAGAAAACACAAAGGCACCAATTCTAAATTCTGAAAACACTCCTACCCCTGTGCTAGAGAAGTCCTTCAATGCTGTGAGAGTTCCTTGCTGTGAGATCCATTTGGTGTCTGGGCTCTTTCATCTGTGAGGAGACTGTAGAGAGGCAGGATTGAGTTCCTTATGTCTTGTGTAAACTAGCATGTCATACTTCCAACTGGCAGGCTCTTGCCCTATACACAACCAATTGTTTCTGCCTTCTCCGGGTCTGCTTTTTTTCTTGCTTGCCTTTTCTGTCAAGTCTTTTCCCCTCGGTGATCTTTAGTCCCTCTTCCTTACATAGGCTGCGTAATTGCATGCTATCTAAAACCCAGGAAGGACTCTTAATAAAAGATGGATATATATTAGCATGGCATACCCCTGGCACTCTGCCCAGATTCAAAATGATCCACTCATATACTTTTAAACTGATGGGGTGCAACTGAGCATGGATCCCATGCATCAGAGAAACAAATGCTACCTATTTTTATCATTAAGATCTCTTATTGGTTATACTGGCAGTGGCCTTGTCCTTATGCACTAAACACAACCTTTATTAATGTTCATGTTCTCCTCATTTGTACAGTGGCTGATTTGGAGGCAAGCAGAGCCATGAATACATTGGTGGCACCCTGATTGTTCGCTGGTCCTGTTCCAAGCCTGGATTACAACTGCTGCCTTTATTTTTCCTCATGACTTATTAATGCGCTGTATTACTACACTCATGACTGTTAATCAGGGAGTTAATTTGTTGTGTTCATAGCCTGGCTTCTGGCATGCGCTAACAAACCAGAGACTCCCCCACAGTCTACGTTGTTACACAAATGCCAAATTTCTGCAGTACAAAGAAGGTTGCTTCTGTTCCAGGGAAAACAAACTATTTATTTCAAACTTTCTCCACAGCGTCGTCCCTATTAGCTCCAGCCTTGGCACGCAGAAGCTGCTCTGGGCCTGAACGCAGCAAGCACCCAGGTCCCCGGGACTACCCAAATTCACGCCCGGAGCTCGGCCGGACCTGCCCACCGAGGGAGGAGGAGAAGCTCCAACCGACCAGCCCGGACGGCACCGAGCCGTGAGGGCGAGCGACTGCTGACCGGTCCTGCGGCGGCTTCTCGCCCCCTCAGCTACACCCCTCCGAGACCTCCCTCCCGCGAGGCTTCCCGCTCCCCCCGCGCGCCCCCCACCCCCCCCGCGGCCCAGCCTCACAACGGCGGAGCGGAGCGGCCGGGAAAGGTTTGTCCTGCGGCGACTCCCGTCCCCCGGCGACGTCAGGCTCGGCCGGGGCCGTACGCCTTAACGGCCGCTGCGCAGCCGCCCTTGAATGAGGGGGGGGGAGAGGGTGGGCACACGGGGGCGCCTTCTGATTGGACAGCTGCGCCGTCCTTCCTGCGCCAAAAGGCGGGGCGGCGACAGCGGGTGGTTGGTCGGAGCGGGGGGGCCGGGGGGCGGGGCGGCGGGAGGCCGCTCGGGTTGGTTGCACCGGCCAGTGGCGGGTGCGAGGGAGTGAGGAGGAGGAGGAAGAAGAGGAGGAGGAGGAGGAGGAGGAGGAGGGGGGGGGAGGGGTGGGGGGGTCCTGAGGCGCTGCTGTCACCGCCGCCTTCCCGCCCAGGCCCACGCAGCCCAGGCCAGCCCGGCCCACCCCCGTCCGCCCGCGGCGCGGCAGGATCATGTCGGCCACGGACGAGCGGGCCAAGGAGATCCTCCGGGGCTTCAAGCTGTATCCTCCCGACGGGGGCCGTGAGGCGGGCGGGCCCCAGCCCGGGGGGGGGGGGGGTGGGGGGGGGGGTGGTACGGGGATCATCGCCCCCTTGTGGCGAGGGCGGGTGCAGGGTCCCCGGGGCGGGTTGTCATGGAAACGCCTCCCCGGCCGGGCTGTTCCCAATGGCGTCCTCCCCCCCCGTGGTGGCGGGGGGGGGTGTGTGTGTGTGTGTGTGTGTGTGTCACTCCCCCTTGGAAGCAGTTGAACCCCCCCGCGGGGCTGCGACCGGCCGGGTCGGGAGGGACGGGGAAGGAGCCGCCGTGGCACTGAGGCCTGGCTCCCTGTCCCTGCCCCCCCGGGGTTGGCGGGGGGGGGGGGGGGGAGTCCCCACCGGGGCGCTGGCAGACGGACAAAGCCCTCATCCGGGCTGCCGGCCGGGCTCCCAGCGGGCCGGAGCTGTCGGCCGGGCGGCTGGAGAGGGGCTGGGCGTGAAGGCGGCGGCCCCGGAGCAGCGGGAGCCCCCCCGCCTCGGCAGCGAGGGCACCTTACAGAGGGCAGGGGAAGTCGCTCGGCGCCCGGTGCCCTCGGTCCCGGGAGGGTCTGATCCCTTCCCCTCTGGCCTGCGCTTAGGCACCTCTGCTTGGAAGGAAAATACCTGGTCTTCAGGTCCAGAAGCAACTACATCTCTTGTTCCTTTTCATGCCCCGTGAGGTATTGGCACACGTTGTGTTGGTCGTGGTTGGTCATACGGTGTTTTTTATTGCTAACGCTGACATACTGAAGGTGTTAATGCCTTTCTGTGCAGTTAGTTTTAAAACTTTTTGTGTTGTGGCTTTCAAAAAACATTTCGTGTCTGTGTTATCTGAATATTAATTTAATGCTGATGAAATGAGATAGATCTGAGCTTGGAAAAGACGTAAGATCCCCTGTGAACCCTTCCAACCCAAGATTTCAGTGAAGTAGGGGAAGGCTCAACCTAAAGGCCCATGTGCAAACTAGGGGTGGGAGAAATATGCCACATGTAAAATAAAGCTACTATGTTTTACTATAGTAGATTCTTCTAAGATTGGAAGACAAATGCAAGCTTCCTAGCTTGACCTTTAGATACCAGGAAATTGTTGTGGGTTGGATTGTTTGTTTTTTCTTTTTTACAATGAGAAGGACAGAAGCAAACAGAATACTCTCTTGACCTAATACTGTTATTTCTAAATATTTTTTTTTGTCGAGCGAGATGTTCTTAATCTCTATACCAGCCATAGCAGGATCTAATTTTCTAGATTGAATTTAGACAGATAGCTGCTATCAAACTATAAGCAGATGCTTTTCTTAACTTTTGAATCGTGATCCTCTCCCCCAGCTGTTAGAACTGCACCTGGTTCCTTTGCTTCTGCACTAGCACTATTGACAGATCTTTTCATTTATGAAGATATAATATTTTAGCTGTTAAAACATGATTTTAAAACCTTTTGTGTTGGCAATTAGAAGAAGAATAAGCTTCTAGCAAGACCAGACTAAGCTGTTAGTAGAAGTGAGGAGTGTCTAGAAAGTTAAGCCTGGTGAACAAACTTTTAAGTGCTTTTTGCATGTGTTTGTATATAGTCTGGTGGATACCAGAATTTACTTGAAGGTGTTTGTCCAACTTCAGATCAAATAACCCATTTTGTTGTTTGTTGGCTTAAGTAAAAAATGCTTTTTGCCCTTCGAGAGGAAGGATGTCAGACAAACCTAAGGTAAACTTCTATTATCTTAAGCAGCCGTAGGATGGACAGGAAGCTTTAGTAGAAATACTCTGCAGTTCCATGTTGCAGTACTTCAAGTTTCACCTTCCTTTGCTTGTCCTCGAAAAAAACTGGTGTCAATTTTACTTCTGACAGGACAGTTTCAGGCAAAACTTTGACTGTGTTTCTCCCGAAACGTGCTAGAGTACTTCAGTAGTTGCCATAGGGGCCAGATAGTATAAAGTCTGAGAAACAGGAAAATTTGGAGAAACGTTTAATTATTGGAACTTTTAGCAAGTTAAAATAGTTGAAAAACATCTATGTGTGCATTGAGTAAACCAGAAGAGTGGCTGAACAGACATTCCTCATTTATGAGAGGAAGCCTTGAGACACTGCGCCATCCACACAGGAAACTACTCATGCCCAGATGTGACCATGTTCTCTGTAGGGCAGCCATCAGCTCAGACTTCCACTTCCTTTTCTGAGAGCATGTGTGGATTCTAGAGAGCATTATATTTTAAAGAGATTCTTTATATTCCACCCACTCTACTGCTGTGTGTGCTAATTTAATTTACTTAATAGAAAGGAAGAGAGAAACATGTTCTGAAAAGCTATTAAGTTCATACTTTGAGTACTTGAAAACTTTTTCCTCTGTTCCCAGGAGGGAGGGAGTTCAATTCCACCAACTTAAGCACACCCTGCAAACTTGGCATTTCAAACTGAACTTACTTTTAGCACAAGAAACTATCACAGTATTACACCTAGGGTCTGTATGTATTGAATTCCTTATGTGACACGATCAGTTAATAGGGCAGAAAGCATCATTGAGGAAGCAGACTTTCAAAATAATTGCTTAAACATAGGAACAAGCACCCTAGCTGGAAAGCCAGTTCACATTGAGTAATCAGAGATTCCTCAAACAAATTCTGTTTACTTGTGGTTCCTGAGAAGAGGTTAATTACAAGCTTTCCAACTGATTGAGACATGCTGCTGTGGGAATTAAATTATAGCCCAAATGCACCCTCTACCTTTAATGTAGTGATATGCTTTCCTTCCTCTGTGACACTAGTGCAGAAACATGTTGTGGCTAGTGTCCCGAAATTCAAGCCAGAAACATTTCTTCCCTCTTCTCATAGATTTTGCCATTTTAAAGAGATTAAAACCAACGGAGAAATATTTGATTCTTGCAGGCAAATGAGGATATTTGTTATACTTTACTACATTCATCCTAAGAATTTTTATGTCACCAGTTAAAAATGGAACACTGACAGTCCAGTAAGTATGGTGCAGAAAAAGATTGAAAGCAGCCAGCAAAATTTTTATAGCTTGTCACTTCTTCAGAGACAATATTTGTGAACGGACCTTGTATGCATGTTCATCAGCTCCCTATTTTGAAGACTGCCTGAACAGCAGTCATTACACTTAACATAGTAATATCTACAGGTAGTCTAGTACTGTGAAAATGCAGACTTGTTGTTTGAATATAAGTAATATCAGTTCAGTTAATAAGTGAAGATTCGTTCCTCTCGAGTATCAGCCAAATCTTATTTCTGTAAGTATTTATGCACAGCTGCATCCTATAATCTCAAATGCATGAAATTTGATTATGCCTTTTTTCTCCAGAAGATGGGATAGTTCCTCTGTCAATCTACAGAATAGCATTTTACTTGACCCCCACTTACCCTTTCAACACATTTTTCAGGTCTCATTCTGTCATTTTATCTTTAGAGTTGGTGTGTAGTATTAAATGTACGTCTTCAGCATCCTTTCTCATAAAAAAAGTAACACAGGTACTGTATTTCCCTAACAGTCAAAACTCAGGGGGTTTTTTTTGGATGACTTTCCCCACCACCAGCCCAACTGATAATTTGTGGGTTGCCTGTTTATCTCTGTTCTGATATGAACAAGCACAGATATTTTTTCTTTTTTTTTATGCACTATATTCACTAGAAAGGACACTGTAGAGCTTTTTAATTTGGTTTGCCAGCATTTGGAAAGCACACATGCTTTGCTTTCTTACATAATATCCATGTAATCTAGCTGTAGATTAGAAATACCCAGTCATGATTTGCAACAACAGATTCACATCCAGTTCTTGAGGGACCACAGTTCAGCTTCTTTATGCACTTCTTCCTGTATTGTTTCAGCCAGAACAGCAAGGAAAACACAAACAAGTCAGTTGGGTCTCATAGCATAGTTAAGGTGCTAGCTTCTCAACATATGAGTAAGCACATCCATTTTCTATTTTAAATCTTACAAGTCAAACAAGATATCACCTATTTTATTTACTTCTGTACAAGAGTCTCATCAGGATTGGATCTCCATAGTGTGAATTGCCCTGTGGATATTTATCAGTGTAGGATAAGTTTATCCATGAACTTCCATTTAAGGCTATGCAGTATATCTTACTGTACTTCAGAAGTCTGCTGAAAGAAATGAATGTGAACATAAGCATGGAGAGACATTATTAACTGTAGGTCTGAATAATTACAGAGTTATGAAACTAGTATCTGTGGTCAATATAAACACATACCCGTAGCTCAGGCATTCCAACATTTGTAGGCAAAACTTTATATGTCAAAGGCTGTCCTACTTTCTGGAACCCTCAAAGTTCCCTGTGCAACTTCCTCCTAGCTCCCAGAGCTTCTTACCATTGTTTTTTTTTTGTCTAGGAAGTCATTCTAGCAGAGCATTAATCTCTTTGAAAGACGGATAGAGCTGTAATGAAAATATACCAGAAAATATTAAGAGCTTCTATGAACTCTATATTACTTCTCTGCAGAGACGTGTATCCAACTGGTTTCTGCTGTACACACATGAACTGTAGTCAATTAGAGTCTTGTCTATCAATTCCTAGAATAGTCACTGAAGTTTTGAACTAGTTTAATGCAGCATTCAGAAGTTGAGAAATCCAAATGGAAGCTCCCTCAAATTGAGTTTCCAATATATTTGTTAGGCCAGTACATCACTGGCTGTTTAGTCACTTAAAATGCTTATTTGTTACAGTGTTTACAAAACTAACAAGGTAACAGCTTGGTTTAAAAATTCCCCTTTGTTTTGAGGTTCCCTCTGTGCGCTTCCTCAGATCTCAGTTTATTTAGACTTCTTGCAATGGAATAGAAAGATGAATCACCAAATTCATGGGTTAAAAGGAGACGCTGTCCAGCTAAAAGAGGGAACAGCTGGGCAATGTACTCTGTAGAGAGACAAAGCAGAACTTGCATGTAGCTTGCGCCAATGCAGTTTTAAAACACTCTAGAAAACATGAGTTTGTGCTCTCCCATCCATGTTTCTGGTTTCTAATAACTGGAATGTTCTTCCATCTAATGCATAGTTCATTATTTACATCATATGAAAACTGGTCTTCTGTTCTTGAACTTTCGTTACCACTTTCCCGTCTACAAGCCTTAGAGTCCTGTACAAGAAAGAGTTGTTCACATTCCCAGTTAGTCTGACTGCAGAACAAGTTCCCATCCTGGCAGCATCAAGAGATCTTTGTTTCAAAGAGACCAGAGTTTCACATAGAAGCTTCAGCCAGGTTGTACTTGGTAGTTAAGTAAGCGTCACTATGGTCAAGGTGCCGTATCAGAACAGTTTCCAACATTGACACAAGTTCTGCAGTATGCAATGATCTATAGTTCTGGCATGCTAAACACAGACTCATCATCTTTCTTATGCATAAATCATGAGGCATACCTGCAATAAAGCAGGAGCAGTTTTACCAGGTTTGATTTTACCTGTCTGGTTCCTCAGTGAGCACCAAAACCTTCCTGTTTCCCCTTGTTAACTTTAATTGAAAAAAGTGTGTAAATATTTAATTATGCTTAAGTAGTGATTTGCATTAACTGTATCTGAATGAGCTACAGTCAGTTTTCTACATTTCAGATTTAATGCAGTCCACTCGTCATGTTGGAAGTGGTGCTTTGTGCCCTTGACAGTGGAAGAGGCATCAAAAGCTCCACCATCACAGGAAAGAAATGAGTTGCCAGGTGC